TTTTAAGAATCATAGAAACTCAGTAGCTAAACAGGTCTAATTTTCAACACAAGCAAAATCAAGATGAATTATGGTGGAAGTTATTTGAGTAATATTAACCCCAATGATAATCCTTTATTCTTATCTTTTTAAGTGGCCCAGTCATCATATCCGTTCCATGACAGGAGAAGAGGGAGAATAGAAAGAATTATGGAAGACGAGAGGAAGAAGAGTAGATAAGAGAGAAGAGGGGAAAATTAATATGAAAGGAGGAAAAGAAAAAAGAGGAAAGGGGAGTAAGAAAAAAAATTAAATTAAAATAAAAAGTGAAAATTAACACAGATGACTTATAATGCGCTTGTTTCCCTCCTGTAATAGTAATAAAGATGCATAAATAAATGGTCGTGACGCGTACAGACGACATGATGATGAAATGTACCGAGATGACTAGTATAGGCTAACCAAGCAGGGAAAGCACGGCGACGACGGAGTCCCTGCGTAGAAAAGCTCTCTCGCCTCTCCGTCAGCATACTATTGGTCGAATTGAGTGTCTATGAGTGGTTAGAAATTGCAAGCACTGGTTCTCCCATCAGTAGCCACACAAATCGTAAAACATTTAACACGCAGACTGACTTGGGAGTCACCGAAGACAAAGACCTGTGCGACGTTCCCCTTTTAACAAGGTAATGGTGTCTCCGAACGTTTCCCAGCAGATCGACGAATCATGAGACACCATATTCATCATCTCGCACACAAACCCTCTGCCAATCTCATTATGACTCCTCCCTTCATCCTCGTCTTCCTCTTGTTAACCCAAGTAATCACAGCTACCACTGCTGGCCAGAGATACGCCAATATCACACGAGGCACCACCCTCACCGCTCAAGGCTCGCCCAGTTCATGGCTCTCCCCCTCCGGCGACTTCGCCTTAGGCTTCTACCCCCTCGACAGCGACACCTCCCTCTTCCTCCTCGCCGTCTGGTATGACTCGACCTCCCCTAAGGCCGTCGTCTGGTCCGCCAACCGCGACGCTCCCGTCGCTGCGGGTTCCACCCTGCAGCTCACTAGCGACGGCCGCCTCTCCCTCAAGGACCAGGACGGCAAGCAGGTTTGGAACGCCGGAGCCGCCAACGCCTCCTTCGCTGCCCTCCTCGACACAGGCAACCTCGTCCTCGCCGCTTCTTCCTCCAACTTCCTATGGCAGAGCTTCGACTTCCCCACTGACACGCTCCTGCCGGGCCAAGTCCTGACCCAGGGCTCCAGCCTGCGTTCCCAACTCACCGATTCGGACACCTCCGATGGCCGCTTCCAGCTGGTGGCGCAGACGGACGGCAACCTCGTGCTCTATCCGCTGGCCCTTCCCACCGGAAACCAGTACGTCGCCTACTGGTCCACCGGCACGACCGGCTCTGGCAATCAGCTCGTCTATAACGAGACCGGCAGTCTGTACTATGCCGTCTCCAATGGTACCATCGTCGGCATAAGCCCTACCTCTACCTATTCCACGGGCAATTTCTACCAGCGCGCGAGGCTGGATCCCGACGGCGTATTCCGCCAGTACATCTACCCGAAGAATGGCACGGCCGGCGGGTCCTTGAGGAAGACGTGGAACGCGGTGGCCAAAGTGCCGCTCGACATTTGCCGAGATCTTGTGGTGGAAAACGTCGGCAGCGGCGTCTGCGGCTTCAACAGCTACTGCTCGTCGGATGGGGATCAGACACGCATCAACTGCATGTGCCCACCGCAGTACTCCTTTATCGATCCGGACAAGAAGTACAAAGGCTGCAAGCAGGACTTCCTACAGATCTGCGAGGGGTACAACCCCGGTGAATTCGAATTGATCCCCGTGGACAACGTCGACTGGCCGTACTACGACTATGAGTACTACACGAATGTGGACCAAGATCGATGCGCACAGTACTGCTTGGAGGACTGCTTCTGCGTGGTCGCCATCTTCTGGAGCAACGACGGGGGATGCTGGAAGAAGAGGCAGCCGCTGGCGCACGGAAGGATGGGTAGTTATGTTGATAGAAGGGCGCTGATCAAAGTGTCCAAAAGCAACGCTTCCCTGACTCTGCCGCCGGGCCCAGTGACTACTATAACAAAGAAGCAACGGACGCCGATGAACCGAGTCGGATCAGCGCTACTGTGGTGTTCTGGCTTTCTGAATTTGATCTTAGTTGCGTTGATGTCTGTCACCGTCTTAGGTCACCGCAGAAAGAGGGGTCAGATGCTTCAGCGACAGACCAGCATGTCCGTGGTAAATCTCCGAGTTTTTTCTTACCAAGAGCTCGAAGAAGCCACTAATGGATTTAAAGACGAGCTGGGAAGAGGCGCATTTGGCGTGGTCTACAAGGGGGTGTTGGCATCAAACATCAGGACCGATATTGCGGTGAAGAGGCTGGATAGGCTGCTTCACCTCGACAACGATAAAGAATTCACCAACGAGGTGAGATCTATCGGGCAGACTCATCACAAGAATCTGGTCAAATTGATCGGATATTGCGACGAAGGGTCCCACAGGCTTCTGGTGTATGAGTACATGAGCAACGGGGCACTGACGGGTTTCCTGTTTGGCGATGTGAAGCTGCAGTGGGAGCAGCGAGTCCAAATCATCTTAGGCATAGCCAGAGGGCTGTTGTACTTGCATGAAGAATGCAGCACCCCTATCGTCCATTGTGATATCAAACCTCAGAACGTACTCCTTGATGATAAATTTGTGGCTAGGATTTCAGACTTTGGGCTGGCAAAGCTTCTAAAATCCGACCACACTCGCACTATCACCGGCATAAGGGGAACCAGAGGGTACGTTGCCCCAGAGTGGTTCAAGAGCATGGCAATCACAAAGAAGGTCGACGTGTACAGCTTTGGTGTGATGATGCTAGAGATCATATGCTGCAGGAAGAACTTGGAAACAGAGATTGGGGAAGTGGAAGAGGAGGAGCCGGTGCTGGTGTACTGGGCTTATGATTGCTACAAAGACGGGAGGTTGGACCTCCTGATGAAGAATGATGAAGAGGCGATGAGTGATTCAAGTAGGGTGGGGAGGTTTGTTACGGTAGCTATTTGGTGTATCCAGGAGGATCCATCGCTAAGGCCCTCGATGCACATGGTGACCCAGATGCTAGAAGGAGCAGTTCCAGTTCCTATGCCACCTGATATTTCATCCTCCGCAAGCTCGCGGTAATTTCAATAGGTGGTCATGTAGAATCTGTAGTCGCTGTTATGCACTGTGTTGTTTCTAAGAGCCTCTTGAGTTTGTACCATGGCGTCCACTTCCCTTCTTCATTCTCGAAGACCTCAGAGCCGTGCTAAGATCTTGCGAGTGCAAGAATCAATAAGAGTGCAAATTGCTGCACCAAATTCCAATGCCATGAGAAAAATTTATGTATTTGTTACTAGTGCAACTGTAGTGTTCATGTAGTTCGGATGCAGCTAATGTTTTTTATAATGCAATCTTAATATGAATTTTGTGACATGGAGCGTTTTACTGCATTTGTCAATGGGAATACATCGAATTTTATAGTCTTGAACTTATCAAAGATGACCACATTTTTATTTTCTTTTCTTGCCTCGATCTCTCCCTCTGTCCGTTTCTCTCCCCTCGCAATGTGTACTTGTCCTTGCAGCAGCACTGTAATATTCAACAGCATGGCTCGTTCATTTCAGCCACAACGAAACAACCGTCCCATATATTTCTACCCTCCTGAAAAATACCTAAAACGACCTTACCCATCAAGGTTTTCAACATAACTTCCTTTCGCGAGCCAAGTCGCTACGAGTCATGTCGAGGAAACGTAGCAAAGAGCTTGATGCGGAAAAGCTGTTTGTTGAAATGCCCGTAAGAAAAACTACGGCTGATGAAAAAGCTGTTTCATATGCTGTTCAGCTGACATGATTTTTATAGAGTTCAATCAGCGAGTTTCACTTTTTTCAAATATTTAGAAGTATATGTTTTAGATATTTAAGAATATGTAAATTTGTTATACATTTGTGCCCATCATTTTGATGCGGATTGAACTTTTCTCCATTTTCCAGTCCAATGTTCCAACATCTGAACATAGATGGATATCCGGTTCTAGTTTCCTATATGATCCACTTATATGAAAGACAGATTCATGGATCGTGTATCATCCACTTTCATGCGTCATGGACATATACATACTGAAACTCTCGAAAGAAAATGTCAAAACTGTCTTCCTGTTTGACATCATCTAGGAGAAAGCTGTGACCTACGACAGGTTTGGTACAGAAAATGGTTGTGTGCCGTGGGCATCAGACGTGGTGACTTAAGAGGTTGGGTCAGTGGGATCAAACATCTAAAGTAAAATATTGGGTTGATTCTTCGGTAACTTCTGCAACATTGGGATCAAACATCTTGACCAAGCACAAGATTGGGTTAGTACTCTACTGGTTCAAACTCGACTACACCAATGGCAAGTGGGATGACCTTAGGGGGGCAGCTCGACACAATCAGGACTGGCCGAGTCTCCTCTAGGTTTTAGTTTTCATGTGAGACGGTTAAGATTGACTAGACTCCTTGTAATATGACAGAATCATCCTACTTAAATCTTTCATATATAAACGTAGACAAAATATTTTCATGACTATAATATTATTCACCTACATCATCAAAAAGAAATATTCTGTTGACGCTATATACCACCGCATGTGCATGAAACACGATAGGGTCCTCCGACCCAAACATTTAAAAGATCCAGATGATGCCTATTAAACAGAAATATGGTTACTTCCAAGTGGGATAGATTGCCAAAGGAACGTACATAATAAAATGTTCAAATTTTCTAAATTCACACGCAAACAAATAATCTGTGAGTGGATATGCAAGTAGGTTGCAAGTGACTAAAGAGATCATCAAGCATAAGATATCAAAAATACATGACAATCATGTAACAAAAATAAGGAAAACACATAATAGGCATAAGATGATGTAAATATAAAATAGATATCCGTAACACAAAAATATAGAATACTCTATGGCACACCATAATAAAGAACACAGTACAAATACAAATAATATGGGCATCAAGAGGCAAATAGACCGAGGGCCATATAGGAAAAGGGAAGGAAGCCTACAGGAGCTGGTACATAGATCTCAAATTAAGCCTGGAGCCACGTAGGACCCAAGAATAACTGGGATTTCAATGGACCTGCAACACAATGATGCTTGGCCCAAAAGATCGCGCAATATAAGGCCGTAATTAAATGGAAATGCCTTTTTCGTAAGTATCTGTCCTATCCTCTCGAAACAAAAGCACACCAAACTTGCGGCATATTGGATATTTACCTAACACCTTACAAATTAACATATTGACCATCCTAGCATTCTAAGCATGTAATCTTTTCCCTGTTAATCCTGCGTCCAATTCGACAAATTGCACCTATGATGTTTCATCATGCGTGTAAATGATACCTGAAAATTTTGCGTGTATATCATTTACCGTATAAGAAACGGACTGATTTAATGGATGAGTATAATGCATTAAAACTCTTATAATAGGTGTTAATGGTACCTCATGCTGAGTTAATGGGGTGTAAAATGAATGTTAAAGCAATGAGATGTGCAGAGCGATGTACCAGACATCCGGCCGCATACCACATTTCGCCCCCGCTCATAATTCGCTCTCGACGAAACACAATGAAGAGAGTGCCTTCATCTGTCAAACAGAAAAAAACACTTAAATATAGTCGAATATAAGACATGTCATGCACTATTAAATAGCTTAAGTTTATCCAATTGTTTATCAATATAGTCAAATATAATGAATTAAATCAAAAAAATTATCAATGCCTGCCTATAAAGTCGTCATGAAAACTATGACCTAGCTTGCCGTGTGATGTAGTCTCATGCACCATTAAGCGTTACAACACAATCGATGGACACGATGAGGAGGAATACCTTGGTCAATGAATAGTTTGCAGCTTGTGTCGGCTTCCTGATCATGACGAGCCCCAGGTGTGACAATCATCGGATGATCAGGTAGTCCCTCCCTTCATGAACGACCACAATCTCCTAATAGAAATAACGGCGGCTTTGCGATCTCACGCCTCTAGGGAATCAAACAAGAAAAACCAGCGAATAGATCAACCTAAGAAGCCCAAAACCTGCACCGCGTCAATCTGAATAGGGAAACTGGAAGAAGAAATAAAGAAAGAAACAGAACAAGGGAGAAGAAGACTTTTACCACCGAACCAGGAGGAATTGTCGGAGATTGTCCAATGCTCCAATCCGCCACCGAGAAGCGACAGCGCAGGTCTCGTCGTACCCGTGGGATTGCTTGGATCGGGGCGAGGGATTGGGATTTGAAAGTCGACGGTTCCGATTTAGGAGTTAGGAAAAGAAGAGGAGAGGAAGAAAGGGAAACGAAAACAAGAGAATGGTAAAGAAGATCACCATCGAACCAGGTGCAATCGCCATCAGACCTGCATTCGACACCGATGAACGACGCAAGCCTCCCCGTGCCTATCGGAGCAGAGAACGCCATCGCCGCCATGGGCAGACTGCTTGAATCCGGAGGAGAGCTTCTTAATTAAAAGAAGATTTGGAAGTCGCGGCTACGGTAGGGTTCCGATTTGGGGGCTACACAACGAAGAGGAGAGGAAGAAGCCGCGGGTAATGGTAGAGCTCTCGAGAGCTCGGCCCGCTTTATAGTCGGTCGGTTACGGTTTAGGCGGTTCTTTCGAACTTCCAATATTTGAACTGCCCGCGTTGCCATATCTTTTGTTTGAATTATCGGATTTGCCACTACGAGGCTTCTTAGAGGTTGACTTGACCACTGTTAGTGTGGGCTTTGAAAGCTCGCCCAATAAAAACTGAGCTCATAAGCCCATTTATTTATGGGTTTGCACGACATGTGTATGTCAAAATGTTCAATGCAGTCTGATGTGTGTGTGTGTGTCTTAAACGACAAATTAAATGATGGCTAAGACTTGTGAGCATAGCCACTCCTTATCGTCCTCATTTCCTGATAGCTTTCACGAATTTTAAGGCATTAATTATAATTTATTATCATCGATAAGGTTTCAAGACTCTCTCTCTCTCTCTCTCTCTGCATATAAGTTCCAGGCAACAGTCACTTGGTACAGCTAAGCGCTGTGTGAGCACGGGACAAGAATCTTCTGCCGAAGGCGGCTGGTCCCATCGGCTACAACGACCACAGAACTAAGTGAGAGTGATTCCACGAGTCAAAAGGCAAAAGAGAGAGGAGAAGTCAAAGACATTTTCTACTTCTGACGAAATCAGAGTCAGCAGTGGACCTCAAAGAACAGGGGAGCAAAGGGGAATCATTCGTCGTCCCCCACATATGGATGGTCCTCTAACAACGCACCTCAAGTATCCAACCCCATCTTTGGCTAAGCAAAACCATAGGAGAATGTCATGGGTGGCTTTGAAGGTTCGCAGCCCCATTACCACCAGCAAAAACGTGGACAAACAGTTCCACTGGAATTATTCTTCCACGGGACATGGAAGGCTAAGATAAAAAGAAGGTTTTTCCTGTCGATCGATCATAATGGCATCAAAGCCTTCCCTCACAAATAAAAAACTGTGATTTCTATATACTAATTGAATCAAATTTCCCCAATCAAGAAAAAAAATAAAGAGAGAGAGAGAGAGAGAGAATAAAAGCATCTCATGGTGGGGGAAGGGTCATGCATGTCAATGGCATAATCTTATCTTGGAGGATTGGGATGCTTACAAAAATGGGTATCTTAGATAAGATGATGTTTTGCCAATGACTGTGTATAGATCAAATGAATGACTTCAAATGAACATATAATTCTCATATCTTAAGAATGGGTCTCTAAAATTAGGTGAATCATCTCATTAAACAACAATATCTTTTTTAACGATTTCTTCTTCGGAATAGATTAGGAGCTGAAGCCTCATTTTAAATAAGCTAATGCCTACAAATCAACAAAGCAAGACTCGGTACCCCTTCCAAACAAAACTAAGAACTAATGTCCTTTCAGAATCCAGAGGGCCACTGTTACTTTGGGTGATGCAGAAAAGTGGGATGGCTTCACGACATGGAGCTTCAGTTGATACATACGTACACAAACACAAGCCTCAAACACATCCAAAACCCTCCTTTTGCTGCCATGGGTGCATTCTGACTCCCCTCCTGTCTGCACTGTCCAACTTAAGAAGAGATCAGAAAGCTTTGGCATCTGCATAACCTTTTAGACAAGGGAGGCCTACAAGATGACTCTTGTTTCAGGTACCAAACCTCAGCAACTCGCACTTGTGCGGTTTGGAAGTCCATTATCGGATGTTTCCAGTTCAAAGAGCCACAAATGGAAGATCGTTCAGATCACTGAAGATGAACTTGACCTTTCTGAGTTGTACTGCATTCAATATATACGTACATGTTTATTAGCTGGCTAGAAATATACATCAGCGACGTGCAGTTCTATAGTGCATGGATCCCCACGTAGGAACGAGAACCGTGCCGTGGTTGGTCCATCATGCTTATCCACAAGCATGAATCAACATGAGAGGCATCAGATCCCACAGCTTCGAAGGGAGGTTACCACTGAAAACCTAATCTGAATCTGATCCGAAATGTATGAAGAAAAGAAATACTGATATTGTTTATTATTGACTTTTCTTAAAAATAAATTTAAATTTGAAAAAGAAACGCATGGATAATGTTTATGAGTTTAGAGAGAGAAATTTAATGTTTCATTATTTTGTATGGATGCATATGAGAATTTTTTCCTTTCTCCTTCCTCCTCAGTCTCATGCCTTTGTCGTTTATCACAAAGAGAAGGCACGAGTGTCATTTGGATGCATGAAAGGTGCACTTGCAGCACCTCTTCATAGGTTGATAACTCCAAAGGGATTTGTTCTTATGCTTTGGGACAATTGTGATCCTTTTTCTTCCTCTTCTTCTTCTTTTATCCCTCGCTCTTTTGGTTCACTAGGAGGAGAGGCTTACTCCGTTAAGATCAACTCTCATTTTCCAGACCATGTTACTGGCGACTCATCAAGAATACTTGTGGTTCCTTTGTTACTTGGTCTTTTCTTTGGTGAAGAGCTTATTGATCTGGTTGGTGCTTTAGTGATCATCTGAGGAATAAGCTGGCGCAAGCTTATGCGTGTTATTCTCATCTTGTTCTTGAAGCCTTGTGGAATATGAGGGACATTAACCCTGCAAATAGGGACCTTTGAATCTTTAGAATAACGTCGGCGGCTTGCCTTCTTTTTCTCTATTTTGTAGGCTTTTTTGATGCCTCTTTAGATTCTGGTGATATATCAAGGCAGTCTTGACGTTGCTCGGCATTTGATTGTTCTTGTAGTTTCTCCACCCAGATCTGTTGATCTACAGAGATTTCACATTGCTTCAATGGATCTTCAGACGAATGATCTCCATGAATTCAGTCATGGATCGTTCAGAAACGCTACGTTCGAGGCTTCCAACCCTTCTTACCAGAGGAACACTTCCTTGGGCTGTTTTCCTGCGCCAAGGAATCCTTGGTCTTCTGTATCATTGGTTTCCTCCTCCACCTCCGCCTCCTTCGAGGAGGAAATGGATTCGTCAAGCCATGGTCTCATGCCTCCTACTTTGCCCAGTTGTGTTTCAAGCTGTGTTGGATCATCGCCTGCCGTCTTCTTTGCTTCTGAGCAATCGATGAGCTTCCCTCAGCTTTACTTGTACCGATCTGAGACCCTTCCATCTTTCTCTAAATCAACAAAGAACAGGCCTGCAGCAGCATCGTTCTTCTTCGATAGAGACGACGACTCCGTGAAGCAATACAGACTTCCTTCCCAACCGAGGGATGCTTTGGACTCGGACTTGAAGCTTCCAATGCTGCAGAACACAAGGGCAAGTTCCAGAGATGGTTTCCAGGCCAGCCGGATTCAACCTTATCCAGGAAGAGCAGATTGGAGTGCCTCATTGCAAACGAAGCATTTAAGTCCACCTCAAGTTGTTCATGATCCTTCTGTGAGTACCGAGTTCTTCTCGTCATCTTCTTCGTGCTTGTTGTTCGGCATCGGTTTCTATAGTGAGCATCTCTTGGTTGCTTGTTTGGCTGTTTGTTCTTCCACTAAGGTCGGATGGGGTATACCGAGCTGTTCAATGGACAAGCCAAACCTTCGTCTTCAAACAGAGAAGCAACTGCCCATCACCTCTGCAAGTGTCTCGTCTGCCACAGCCATCTCAAACAAAACACGAATCAGGTGGACACAGGATCTCCATGAGCGGTTTGTCGAGTGCGTGAATCGCCTTGGAGGAGCTGAGAGTGAGTACCGAATTTGATCCGATTGCCTATTTCCAGAAATCCCAAATCGAAAAGGTAACACATTCTTGTGTATGCTTGTCGAATTGGCATGCAGAAGCAACTCCAAAGGGGATTCTGAAGCTGATGAACTCAGCTGGGCTAACCATATACCACGTCAAAAGCCATTTGCAGGTATCATAGACTGCAAATAGGAATACTTTAATGCATCCATTATTTCGATCCAAGAAACTGAAGATGATATGTCTTGCAGAAATATCGGATCGCCAAGCACATACCAGAATCTACTGAAGGTAAACAAAGCTTCAGCCATCTTCCATGAACAATTGCTTTACACTCCAATCTCATTTCATTTGCATTGGCCAATGATGTTACAGGCAAGTTCGAACGAAGGGCTGCCGCCGTCAGTGTCACAGAACTCGATCCTAAAATGTAACTTCTGCCGACACTTTGTAAAGATTATGTATTAAAACGGTGAATTCTCATCTTCACTGATCAGAGGATACCATTCTGTTGCAGTGGCATGCAGATATCAGAAGCATTGCGGCTTCAGCTGGACGTGCAAATGCGCCTCCATGAGCAGCTAGAGGTGCAGTCTCATGAGCCTCTTCTTCTACTAATTCGATCGCAGCCCTCCTGATGAATCAAAAATAAGTAATCGTGTCTCCCTTTCTTGATCAGATTCAGAAGAATTTACAGCTGAGAATAGAGGCACAAAGCAGAAAGCTCCAGCAGATGTTCGAAGAGCAGGTGAGAACAACCAAAGGTCCTGCCGAGCTTGAAAACCTGGGTGATCTGTTTTCGGGGAGTCCTGCAGCGAGTCTTGAAGATGCTCAGTTGTGGTGTGCCCCGGATGGGCCACAGAGCGCAGACTTCCCATTGCAGAAATGCTAGCTTTAAGATACAGCATAGAATTGCTGTGTAAGTGTGCATAAACCTACCAGCTTGACTGCTGATTAATGCTGGTCAACAAGTAATTCTTAGTGAATGGATGCCTGTTGTAATATCCTCATTTACGTAAATCATCTTAATTTTCAAATTATATTAATCGAAAATATCTTTTTCATTAATAGCGGCTTGACATAAGTATGATAGAGCTTGTTGTGCAACTATTCAGAGCTTGTAAAGTATGTTTGTAATTTGCATTGTCTATGAAGTGTTTTTGAGAGATGTTTGCTTGTGGATCGTGATTGAAACGTTCTCTAATCCGTTCTCTCTTTTTGTTGGTCCTAAGAGACAAAGGGGAGACTTCGGGGAGGCTGACCTTTACGGACGGACATGTAAGGTGCCGCACGATTTAGGTAAAACCAGTTAAGTCACGAAGAAAAATTTTACTCCAAAATATTCCCTTAATAAACATATTATAACAAATTATCTAAGACACGATAATTAATATTAATTATTTTTTATTAAAATTATTTTATCCTCATCAAAATTGACAAAGAGATCAGATCGAAAACCCTAATCAACCTTAGTATTCATACAAGTTGATTTAGGTGGGTCCAGTATCGATGGAGTGTTCGTTTCGAGAGTGTCGAGCAACAACGCAAGCATAGATATCTCCGGAGCGGCACGACCGGTCTCTGGAAGTCTCTGGAATCTTCTCCTATAATAAATTGCTCCTCTCCTCCACCTCGCTTCCGTTGCCCGCGCCACCGTCTTGGTTCGTGGTCGATCTCAGCCGCCGAGGAATTCGACACGCCCACCGACGAGGACAGGATGGACGTCCCAAATGGCGACCCCGCCCTCCAGATCGGCGATTGGGTCAGATGTATATCTGGTTTCCTTTCTTTTTCTCTTTCGGTTCTTTTTGTCTTTGGGCGTATCTGCAGTTGGTCTGGTGGCTTTTAGTGGTTTCTGGGTGGAAAGGGTCCGATCTCTGAGGTGCTGGCGTGCAGTGTATCTCGCTGGGACGCTGCTCGACGGGACTAAGTTCGACTCCGCCCGTGATCGGGATACCCCGTTCAGGTTCAATCTCGGCCTAGGTGAGGGGGCTTTTGTTTCCAAATTCTTGCTGTCTTGAACGATGAAACTGCTTCTCCTCCCTCTGTAAGTTGGATGATTATTATTTCTTGTGTCTAATCTGTATTTTATCGTTAGCCTTCTTTGAATGCTTGTTTCATTTTTTCTCCCTTGAATGAGATGTTGTTTCTAGACATTATTGTATAAGTAAAATTGGAACTTCATAAGCATGATTAGAAATAAATGTGGCTAGGCTGAATAACAAAATTACAATCATTATTCCTTATTCCTGTCAGTCCATAATGATCTGCAGCAAATTGGTTGATGGCTCAGAGGTTGGGAAGGCAACTTGAATTTGTAGGTATTAGAGATTGGTTGCTAGTGTGAGTAAATGAAGAGTTGGGAGCAGCAACCATATTAATGCTGCTGCAAAGAAATCAGTTTCTTAAATAGATGACAAAGGAAACAGTTCCTTTGATTGACTAAATTTATCTGTGCGTGTACAAAGATGACAACTGGTTGCAAAAGTTTTAATTTAATCAACAAAATCCTAATTTCCTGCAGCATGACAACAGAATGTCACAGCTACCTCTTTTTAAAGTTAAGCAGAGTTCTTTGGAATGTCGAGATGAGAGAATAGCATGATTAAAATACCGCTGAATCAGTTGGAATATAATGCTTTAGATTAATTTGTCGAAGAAAAAACTGTAAGCCGGTTTGCTCTTGAGCACATTCACTCATGTTGAAGTTGAGAGTGGTCTTCTTCTTTCTCATCAATCACTTTTTCAATGTAAATGCTTTTAACAAATTAATTTCTTTTTAGCACTTGTGAAGTTTATGATTTCACTCCATTGGTATTCGTTAATGTTTCAGGCGAGTTTGAACAAAGGTCTGCTGTCAGATGACAGAGAACATGATCCTAAAATGTAATTTCTGCATATAACTTGTACAGAAATATATTAGAACGATGAATACTCACCATTACGACATTCATCTGGTTTTTTATCTGCAAAAAGACCATTAATTTTGCTGCACAGTGGCATGCAGATAACAGGAGCATTGTGGCTTCAGCTAGATGTCCAAAGGCGCCTTCATGAGCAGCTAGAGGTGCATGCTTCCATAATGTTGCAGGCAACTCTGAACAAAGGGCTGCTGTCGATGTCACAGAACATGATCTTACAATGTAATTTTGCCAATATCTTGTGGAGAAATATATGAGAACAATTCATTTGGATTTTTCAATCTGCGAATTGACAATTCATTTGGCTGCAGTCCACTAATTAGAGGCGACCATACTGCTGCAGTGGCATGCAGATAACAGAAGCATTACGGCTTCAGCTAGATGACCAAAGGTGCCTTCAGGAGCAGCCAGAGATGCACTTGATGAGACTCCTCTTACAGTAATTTGATTGAAGTCCTCCTGCTGAATCAAAAATATCAGAAATGTTTCTCTTTTATTTTTCTCTTACTAAGACCCAAAGAAATTTACAGCAGAGGATAAAGTAGAATGCACCAGCAGATGCTTGAAGAGAAAGTGAAAACAAACAAAAGTGCTGTTGAGCCTGAAAACCTGGCTATTTTGTTTTCAAATAGTCCAGAGAGTCTTAAAGATGCTCAGTTCTTGTGTGCCCCAGATGGGTCACAGAACACATTTCCAATTGAAGATTGGTTAGCTTTAAGATGTAGCATATAATTCCTGTATAAATGTGCATAAATTTACCAGCTTTCTTGCTGTTTCATGCTGATCAACATGATTAGTATCTCTTTGCCGGTTTTAAGGATGCCTTTTGTAATATCCTCAATTACTCAAAGAGAACTTTCAGTAAGTTGATGGTAGATCTCCACTCTGGATTTAGAAGGGATTGTAGAATTCGATGTAAGCACCATTTTTAATTAGTGGATTAAGTATAGTGGAATATTTGTTTCAGAAAGAGCACAAGGAATCATACATATATTTCATATGAATGCTCTAAGGTTCTTCAGCTGGTTTTCATGTTATGCTTGACCACAGATCAATAATCGTGCATTGTCCTTTTATCTGCAGACTCTTGTTCTGTTCTTGTAATGAATCTTGCTCGAGCAATTGCAGAAGTCATCTGGTTGTTGATTTGTTCTGTTCTGGTTTCTCAAATCATCTATGTAGAATAATTCAGCAATAGTATGTGAAATATGTTGCTGTTGGAGAAGCATTTCCCACATAAAACAAGCTGATTGAACAAGCCAAATCATCCTATGCCACTCGTGCCTCTCTCAACAGCAAGAACAGCAACGTCGCCATCCCTCCCATCACAGCCACCACCAAGTCTATCGTCTTCCCCTGTGCTGCTGCAAGTGAACCGTAAGCAATCATCACCGGAAATCGGCACTTGTCGTCGCTCGGGTCCCGATCGATGACCACGGCGAGGTCAGAGAAGACACAGGCACCGGCCTCCTGGTTCTTCACCTGGTAGTACATGTTGAAAGCATAGGACGCGTTCCCATGGAGGTCCAAGTGGTTGCAGGATGAGCCATACCCCATGGAAGTGCAATCCGAGAAAGAGCAGGCGTAGTTGACGCTGTCATTCAAGTCGGTGAGGTCGGTGGCAGCCGGGTCGAGAATGCACCATCTTCTTGGCAGGTAATCGACCCCCTCGACGTTCACCAGATTGGTGTCTCCTCCATGCCCCGACAAATCCAATCCGTACTTGGGCTTCCCGTCGAACTCGAAGATGCCCCAGTGCCTCTCGAAGGGCCCGGGAGCGATGCTCTTGTCGTCCTCGTCCATGAGGCTAAACAGGTAAACCTCCATGCTCCCGTTTCTCGCAGGCGTCCCCTTTCCGCCCGTGACATGGCGGAGCAGCCCTTGGTTGAACTCTTTGGCCATCTTCACGTTGGCGTTCTTGTCGCCGTCAGTTGGCCAGCCAATCTCGCCGATGATGATGGGCATATCGGGATACCCTGCTTTCCTCAAGGACCAGACCAGGGTATCGAAACTGGCGTCGAGCACGTTGGTGTAGACTGCTTCGCCGTCACTGACGCGCGTTTTGGCCACCCCGAAGAAGGCGAAGTCCACCGGGAAGTACTTGTCGCCGTAGGCGGAGAGGAAGGGGTGGATGTTGACGACGAAAGGAGCGTTGTTTTCGGAGAGGACGGCGAGGATTTTGAGGACGGTTTCTCGTGTCTCCGGTTGGAAGTGTCCTGCTGAAGGGACGGGGTGCGGACCCGGAGAAGTGTAGATGTCGGCATTGAAGGGGACGGTGGCCTTCACATGGCTTCCCAGCCCTGAGTCGTCGAGAGCTTTCTGAATCTTCTTCAATGCTCGTAACGTGGGTCGGCTGTAATTGCCTCCATATGCCCGCAACAACGGCTCATTACCCACCGCAACATATCTGCAAGCCATTAGTCCTCCATATCGATTCCAATGAACGAAGGAGAAACAGAGAGAGAAGAAGAAGAGTCCCACATACTTGATGTTGACGCCACCGGTGTACCTCCAAGAGGTGACGTTCTCGTCCACCCAGTCGGCGGCTCGCTGTTGATCAATGCTCACCTCCTCCAGCATGTAGTTGGGTATGCCGACCATAACCTCGATGTCGGTCCCCGTCAGAGCTTCGAGCATGTCGGAGTCCGCGTCGAACAGCTTCACCTTGTCGAACCCGTTCTCCACCAGCATCTTCAACACCTTCTTGGGCGGCAGCCGGTGCGTCGCCATCTTCCCCCAATTTACGCCCACTGCCCTACCCCCGGTGGCCATGGCAACCACCAACAGGGCGACGCAAAGAAGACAAGTCTGGCTCATTCTCGCTGCTTCCTCCTCCCTCCCGATTCTAATATATTACGGGATCAAAGGGAGAGACGAAGTATGAGGGAATCTAGCTTTCCAAGTAGATTCTACGTGGATGTCGTCCATGCGGGCCTTTGTTGAGTTCATCGCAGCTTCATATGCCTACCACCAGTTTCCCACTGCCAAGTACACTGCGGTGATGCTACGAGTGGAATCCACACACAAGCACCATTATAGGCAATTGTAATCCAAAGCAGAACAACCCACGCAGATGAAGTGACAGCACTACAGGGAAGATCATGAGCAGCTTGAGCTGCAAGGAAACATTGAGAAAGTGTGGGACATCCTGGAACGCAGAGGTCGAGAGTATGCACACAACCTCTACTCCGAGAAAGCAGAACTATAGGGTTTTGTCATGCTGTGATGCAATGTGATCAAGCAAAAAAAAGGCAAACGAATGCTTTATCTAAATTACTGAAAAGAGTTCATCAGCATGATGAAGAATCAGACAAGAATGTATCACTCGATCACCCACTCCCAGCTCATGACTGGGACACCACCATTAGGATTGCAAAGACTCGAGGGAAGCAGGATTAGCTGTGGTGATGGTGTGGTTGCAGATAAAGGTGTGAAGTGGACCGACGTGGAAAGGTCTCCACATCTCGTCACAGTCCACCGAGTAGGAGATATCATCAACTGGCCTTCCACGGTAGACCTGACGGTGACTGCTACGAGAAGGTTTGGCCATCGGAGACTGCTGAATTCACTCTAAGCAGAAGCGTTTGTGGAAGTTCTTTTACAAGAAGAAACATTCAGACAAATTTACTGCCCTTTTGCTGCTTCTTAGCTCTCGAGAAAGAGAAAGTCAAGGTCAATCATCGCATGGTAAGGTCATGATTGGTTTCTTACGGCATCAATTAGGCCATGCCAGAGAGAGCACTTTGATCAACCATGTCTGTGAGAATGAGACCATATGGAGAGGACTCTCCGTCAAGACGAAGCGCTCTCTTATCCTAAGTGATCTATATCGACCGTGGGGCACGTTTCAAGGGATGGCTCGATGGGTGACGGTGTTTCCTGTTCTGCGCAAGCCTGGACCAATAAAATGGCTCCTCGGAGCGGGCCCCGCCAGGTCGGCTATTTAACGGATAACGAAGCAGGCGTCGTCGGTGTTGATTGGTCTCCGACATCCCCTGCGTATACGGCCTCGGACCGTTTGCGGGTAATCCATATCACAGGCCATACGAGAGAGCGGTGGACTTGGGACCGTTGTCTGGTCGATCAGCGCCATCCATTGAAAACGGGCCCCACTATATATATATATATATATATATATATATATATATATATATATATATATATATAACACTCATACTTTTAAAAAAAATTATAAAAAATTATATTTAAATAACTATTTTACCTTCGGCCATCGTTGGACCCATCATTACCTGCATCCTACACCCCTGCATTGTCTCGTATCGATCTTATTGTGTTTACCCATGACCCTCGCACGAGGAAGGAGGAAGTGTGAGAGTAATTGTCGCTTCCGTAGAATTACATCATCTCCTCCTTGTATCACCTCTCATTTACTTTGTCAGATCGAATCGCTCTGTATCCCTTGAGCAAGGAAGGATGAGGTGTGAGAGTCGTCACCACCTTTGTAACTCTACTCTTGTGCACCTCATTCGCAACCATCACGTAAGAAAAGAGGAGGCACAAGGGGTCACTATAGTATTGCGGACCTCACGCGAGCTCGTTTTTATTGGGGAGGAGGTGACATGAGGGTCATTGTTATCTTCACAAATCTTGTTGGACCCTATCAAACTTATTATCACTCTCGTACCCCTTTCTTCCTCATATGAGGATTAAGAGCGACAACTCCGAGAGGAGGTGATGACAATGCAAGACTGAACCAACGATGGATTTATTAAAGACGAGGGTAAATTGATTTTTTTCTAAGAGGATGTGCTCTCTTCAAAAATGTTAAACGTAAGGGCTTTTTTTTCCTTCAAAAAACCATATATAACGATTTTACTAAAAAATACTCTCATTTTAGGTATTTTCGAAACAGTTACCCTCATTTTTATTTTTTGCAAACCATACCTTAATTAAAAAAAAATCTAAAATTGCCCCTCCTCCTAGAACCCCTCTTTGGCTCCTCCGCCACCGCCGCCTTGTCCCACTCTCCCCTCTTTCCCCGCCGCCCACCCTCTCCTCCTCCTCCTTGCCCCTCCTTCCCAGCCCTCCCTTCCCCCTTTCCTCCTCCTCCTCGCCCCTTCTTCCCCTCCGCCCGCCCTCTTCCTCCTCTTCCCATCTTTCCCACCGCCCGCCCTCTCCTCTTCTCCCGTCCTTCCCCCTTCCCTTCTCTCCCCTCTCCTCCCCTCATGGACGACGAGCGGTGGACGACGAACGACGGCGATGGGTGGATGGCGGGTGGCAACGGACAACGGCGGACGGCGGCGACGGTGGAAGAGGGGTATTTTTTGGATTTTTTTTTATAAATTAAGGTATCTGATTTGAAAAAAAATGGAGATAATTGTTTGGAAGATATCAAAAATGATAGTTTTTTTAACGAAAATCCTATATATATATATATATAGTAGGGTTGTGGTGGTGGTGGTGGTGG